TGAAATAAAAATTAAAAAAAAAAATAAATAAATGATATTTTTCTGGAATTTGGGAGATAGACTCTGACCTTTAGGTCTTCTTTACCTTAAGGTCTTTTTTTAGCCCACTTTTTCTATGATTCTTCCTCTACCCACTCTTTGTTCCCAGGTGATTGGAAAGATGTATGGGTAGTATTGCCTGTTTAATGACTGATTGTTATTGCGTTGGACTGCAGCTAAACTGAAGCTTCCTGAGGAATAGTACATTCATATACCTTTAGCTTATGCTTCTTAAGGAACGCTAGAAAATGACTTCACTACATTTTTTTTTCCCAGTACCCAAAGTGGCATATAGTAAATGTGTATGCTTTTCTTGTGCCAACATTCAAAACAAACAAAAAACCAAAATGCTTTTTCTTTCTTTCCAAATGAGAATCTCTTTGGTTTCTTATTAGCCATGTCTATATTACTCTCTTGGCTCTCACTTGCCATGACTATCTGGATCTTTTGGAGAATATAACTTTGTTATGTTCTTCTACTTAAGGAAACTGGTGGTGACAAAAGAGAAAGAGAAGAAAGTGGGGCTGTATACTATCTATGTGAATCCTGCCAATACCCACCAGTTTGCAGTGGGTGGACGAGATCAGTTTGTAAGGTAAGTTTGTGGCTCTTTTGTATCTTTGATAGTTTGGAATGCTGATTTATTGTGTACTCCCAGGTGCTCCCTGTGGAGAGGTGTGAATTGCCTGGGAATCCATTAACCATCATCTTGAATTTTTTTACTATCTTTCGAAAAGTTTAAGTGCCTTTTGAGATGTTCTCTTCCCTAATGTAACAATCTCTGAGGGGTGGCTTTACATATTATAGAGATTATCAAGTTTTAGAGAGGTTTGATGAATTGACCAAGGTCCCCACATAGCAGCTAAGGCATTAACATGTTTACCAGCAAGTGCTATATTAGTAAATAGCTTCTACCATTTTCATGTATAAATTAACATGTACTAGAAATTCTGAATACTGGTTTTGAATTCAGAAATGGTTTGACTTGGGAGCACTCAGTTTGAACTGAAGGTTTTTGCCTCCCACTGTCCTAAAGCACTTTTCTTTATCCACAGTGATATATTTGTTACTGTGAACATCTGTAGTAACACTGGCTATTGAGATATATCCTAAAGAAAACAAATGTCATGGATTCAGTCCCTATATGTACCAGTTAATTTCCTCTGACCCTTGGTAATAAACTGTATCCCTATCCAGTTGGCCTACTTTAACTATATTTCTTTGGGATCATAAGTTTGAAAGAGAGGAAGAGCAGGATCACCAGAAAAATGAATGACATTTGCTATCCTGATGGTGGGTGAAAAGCATTATCTTCCTTTTGAAATGAGAGCATATTTTTATAACTGTATGCTGAAGTTGATTCTGTTAATAAGAATTATAGGGTAAGTTTTCAGAAAACACATAAGCAATGACTTTACATTGTTTCAGGATCCTGGGCAAATCCTTGTTACTCTCATCTTCCTCTGTTCCCTTGCCTTCAAAATTCCTTTCCTCTAGTCACCAGTCATCAAATATGTAGCAAC